AATAAGTCTTCTATAGTTGGCGCGTGAGGTACGAACATCCTTTTTGAAGATATGTACGATAATCGACTCGCCCCAAGACGATGGGACATTTTCTTCACGCCATATGTTCGAGAGCATTGTTGACTGGTCGACAGTTGCCCCACCGCCGTACCTAAACAGCTCCGGAGGAAGTCCGTCTGAGTCAGCAGCTTTGAATCGCTTCAATTGACGAAGCTTCGGTGAATGGTTCTAAGGTACGCAATTACCGTACTTGTTTAACAACCAGGGGGAGGAGACCAATTAAATTAGGAGTGTAAGTGCTCAGCCTAGCGGTCCATGCACCTATGCAAATTAGTGATCCATCAACCTAGCAACTAGCTTCAGTGACGCCAAGTCTCCTGTGGCTAGTGGTCCAAATGATCTGGAAAACCTTGCGAAAATTTCCAGACGGAACTGCTGCCTCCATTTCCGAAGGGCGATAAGACAATCATGTTTCGCCATCCTTACACAAGCTCTGCTTGGTTTGTTTACTAAGGTTTCGGCGGCTGCTTGAATCAGCTGGGATAACGGCGACGGTCAAATATTTCTAAAGTGTGAGGAGAGATCCAGCCTCTAAGAGGACGCCCAGCGATTGCACAGTATGATGGGCCGGAAGAAAGCAATGCCGTTTGCAAGAAATTCCTATGATGTTCGACATCCGTAGGTAGATCACTAGCGAACGCATCTGATAAGAAGGACTGATAGCCGGTTGGTATCCAGCGTGCGGTGCTTTGGTTTCGAGGATCCACTAAAACACATACAGATGTCCGCACAGACCAGAGTGTGATGAGTCGAGGTAAGTGGACGAAATCCATCTGCAATCCCGTATACTGCCCAGCTACCTGAAGCTGATTGAAATGTAATCAATTAGTGACGACACTTGTGTTGGAGAAGGGGAACGCCAACTTGCGGCCCGTCTCCTCGAATGTTTGAAGTTCATGCTCGCGAGAAAGAGCCGATTGTCCCCTGCTAAGGTGAGAAGTCTATCTCCGTTATCAGAGTGACTCAGCAAGAGCATGACAGTCAACAAGATTACGCTAGTATAGCAGCAGGCGATCGACCCGTGCATTGACATCGGATTTTTCAGCTTTCTCAAGAGCTAGTGGAGTCGGCAATAAAAGTCATCCCTAAACGACGCACAACTGCAGTCGGTTGGAGCGCAGGCTGAAACCACAAACCAATTGCCTCTCTGTACCATGCTAACTGATCCTGCACGAGCGTAGAAGTCGACCCGCATATAATCGGCTATCAGTCGGGGACCAATCAAACAGCAAGGCTTCAGCTTTGTCATTCAATGCAATATTAACATCAGCCAGGTCAGCTGCAGGAGCCACTGTATCACCAGACAAATGCTGGGAATATTTGGTCCTGAAATCAGCAGTGGACTTTAACTTCACTACAGTGCTGGAGTGCTGTAAGCAAGTCTCAGAAAGGCAACAACGTAAATAGCGAGGGATTCCAGGGTGCGCGCTAGCTCGACTTGTTGTCCGAGCTGCATAAGGGCTCTAACGTTAAAGGCTGCCAGTTGAAATGGAGATTGATGTCGAAGGAGGGCCACTGGTCGAACTCTTTAGACATGGGCGAGACTGTTTTTGTAGATTCGAAGGAATTATTGACGAAGGTAAAATCGGCGTGTGATGGATGTGCGAAAGCAGTGAGGAGCTCAGGAGCGGAAGAGAACGACGTAGTAGTAGTAGTTACGGTATCCATAGTTATGTCACGAAGAGGCCAGTTACATTCCATCATCTGGTGGGGACATCGCGTGAACAATGAGCATGTTCGGCATCGTGTCTTGAAGTATATTATGTTACTAAGTCTGCTTTTTGTATTCTGTAATGTTCAGTATCTCGTTTTTTTCAATATGTATTATCTTTTTTGTATTGCGGCACAATAGTTGAAGCGTGTCTCTTGCCTTCAGCCATTTATTCATTACACACATTAGCTGCAAGTGGAAAACACAGCTATTGTGCCGCATTACAAAAGACAAGACGAAAAAACAACAGTGGCACACCGGCTGAGTCCCACATAACGAATGGATATACTTCCGGAGAGCTAATCGCCGACCGTCGTGCCACAAAAAGAGTGACATTATGTCTAGCGAATGAGATTGTGATTAGAGGGGGAGACTAAGCAGGAGGGGATGAATAAAAGAACTCACAACACAAACGCCATTGGGGCCGGCTCCAAGCCATATCAGCGAGTGTGTCCAACCAAACGTGTTCACGGTCCTTAGGGCCCCAGCCGGGCAGTCGGGATGCACCAACCGACGCCAACTTCGAAGTGAGGGTTTTCATCTCTCTCGACCAAGTCATCTATTGGTCTCCTCTTCCAACCGGACCCCGGCGCGCAAACAGTGCACGTCGCGGGAGTCGGTGTGCTGATATGCGCAAAACGTGGCCCAGCCATCGGAGCCTGGTGCGTGTTATAATGGTGCTGAGCGGTTCACTAGCTCTTCCTGCATCGGATACGCGATGCCGAACACGCTCATTGCTCACGCGGTGCTCCCACTAGACATGAGCTAAGCTGCGAGGGCAGCGATGATCGAATGTGACGAGCCTCTTTATGTCTGTCGACCTGATGGGCAAGGTTTCACAACCATATGGGAGTTAAACGGACGGCTGCGTTATAAACTCTGCTCTTCAGGGCGAGAGTGATGTCGCGTCTGCGCAACAGGTGGCAGGGATTGGCAAAAGCACGTCGAGCTTTTGCTATACGGTTCGTAACCTCAGCTTCGATCTCTCGGGTGCTACTTTAGTTTCCCAGGTACTTGAATTCCTGAACGACTTCTAGCAGATCACCACAAAGCGTTAGCACAAGGGTGGGTCTCTGCCAATCTTGGAGAAGAACTTTGTATTTTAATGGAGCAAAGCATAGCCCAAAACGATTGACAACCAGTGCTGCTTAGCATGTTTGGGAGCTATCACAGATTAGGGCAATAATGTCCGCGTACTCTATCAAGAAGTCGCTCACCAGGAAGTAGCTCCACACCTTTTAGGTCGTGTCCAGCGAACGCTGTTTCCATGACTTCATCAATAGCGAAGTTGAAGAGGAAAGGTGACAGCGGGCAACCTTGTCTCACACCGCTGGTGATACTGTAGGGTTGCGACAGTTTGCCATAAACCCTCACTCTGCCCGAACTATGCGCGTGCAGCACTTAGATAATGTTTACATATTTATCGGGCACACCTTTCCTCAGCAGACAGTTCCAAAGAGCACATCGATCGACTGAGTCGAAGGCATCTTTTATATCAAGAAACACAACGGTGGGTCGCCACTAAACATGGCGGTGCTGCAACAATTGACGCAAGGTGAAGGTGTGGTCGATACAGCTCCGACCTCGACGAAATCCGGCTTGCTCTTCACGAATCTGGCTTTCACGAGTGCCATTCAGTCTGTGGAGAATGACACGCAAGCAATTTAGTGGTAACTGAAATCAGACTGATCCCTTTATGTGCCGCATTCCGAACGGGAGCCTCTTGAAAATTGGGATAATGACAGAGCAGCTCCGGTCTGTTGGGACAGTCTTCTGCTCCCAAACATTCACTAGCAACTCGTGTAAATCATCTATTAGAGCAGGTCCCCCGAATTTGAAGAGGGCTGGGGGAATTCTATCTCCCCCTGCGGCCTTATGCAAGTTCGACAGCCTGGTCTCACGTTCGACTTCTGCGCGTGAGGGCGGATCCAAGGACACGGCCCAGGGAGAAGGGCGCTCAATGCCCGAAGAAGAAAGCGATAACTCAGGTTGATTAAATTGCCTTGCAAAGTGTTCAGCCCAACGCTCCAAGCGTTTTGACAGGCTGTGGATCGGCTGCGCACTCTCATCGCGTATGGTCTTGCTAACATCAGGTCTACTGCTTCCTGTTTCCCGTATAAGACGGAATAAGTTACGATGATTGCCAACGGTAGCGGCTGTTTCCATCTCAGAGGCACGATGAGACCACCAGGTTTCGCGGCCTTTCTTCAGGCTGGCACGTAGTTCTGCCCTGAGATTTTTGCGAGCCTCGTTGTATTCGCTTCCAGACGAAATACGTTGGTGAGCGTCTATAAATTCCAGAGACTGTATAGAGACCCAATGTCCAGTTTGGCAATTTGATTTGCCACATTAAGACATACCTACTGATAATAACGTTTGACGAATATGCGACCAGTGATCTTCGACGGTTTTTAAGTGGGCGCTTACTCAGCCCGGATGTCAGCGCACTTTGATACACTTCAGAACACCAAGCTTCGTCAGCTGGCTGGTGTCAATCCGTTCACATCGACGCGGGCGTCTACCGAAACGCACCCGGAGGTCGGCACAGACAAGTGCGTGGTCTGAGTCTACGCTCGTGCTCCAATCTGTATTGATAATGATGACAGCATCGTAGCAGGGATGATTTTCAAATCAGACGGACAGCTGATCATTGAGCTACAGCCCTCGGTGGATTTGGCACGTGCTTCTCATGCCTGCTCAGCATTTACTTCACTGAGTCTCTACACGCACCAAATCCGGCTTATGCGGAGGCAAGGTGATCAACGCATGACCCGGGCTCAAGTTTTAAACATATAACCCCAAAGTTGGCCGTTTGTGGGCGCTCTGGAGTCCCAGGCTAGTGCCGCAATGACGACGAACACGCCTGGCCAGGAACGCTGTCAGATATGACACAAAACGCCTTGTGTCAAGCACCTTGGGAAACCACCTCTTTCATTGCAGCTCTAATTTTTCATTTTCCTCATATTGCTTTTAACCCCTGTATTGTGTCACTCCACCGGTTGTGGTGTTAGGTGTATAACCCCTATTTCCAAGGCGTAATTTTTCCATGTTCGATCGCATCATTGAACACAACGCTATCCCGGTGTACTTTCTCATTTTCCTTATTCAGATTGTGTGTTTATCGAAATAGAGTTTACTCTGATCATTCGAACCTCTTTAATTTATCCGCTTGGGTTTTTCGTTCTGCTTACCCACTGTGACTGATTTTTGTTCTCTCCAATTCGTCCAGTTACTAGCGACGTTCCAACAGGAAACTAAAGTGTACATTGACCGCCTTGCTGATGTACGATCTAACGTGACGAAGTTGCTGCACCGGGTCGATCCAGTAAGCAACATAAATGTTTGCATTCGAATTGCGATGTTTTTATTCATACACTTTGTTTCTCAACGATCACACTCCTCTACTGTACTTTGTATTTCTCACTTAACTCCCGTCAGTCTTCCACCTGGATAGCAAGTCGTCACGATGGAAAATCCTCGTTAACCTTATGATTCTCACATTCACTATCAGCCTAAGTCACCCATATTCTACTGCTCATTTCGCTGTAGCATTCAGTGGTGTTCTCATTCAATCCGATAACCTACTTACTTTATACACTCTTCATAAAACCAATCACTACTGACGGCCATCAAATGCTTTGTCAGATAAGCAAGGGAGAATCTGGCTAAAAGCAAGTCATTATTCGTTGCTCCTGCGTTTTTGGATAGACTTGTAAGGCGAAAATTGCGTTGATACTGTAAAAGTCAGTGTGAACAGCGATCCATTGGGGAACCAAAATAGAATGTGGCCTTTTGGTTCAGAAATGCTGCCGGGTATTATATTGTGTTGGGTTTGGAGCGGAAATTGTCTGCCACCGTAAGCAGCGATAACGAGGAATTGAGAAACCCATCTGTGCGCAATCGATCAGCATTGGCAGGTCTGCACCTTTGCAGAGTGGCACTCGGCCACGTAGACCGTGGAAGTATTGTCGGTGGATCCAGTTCTCCAACTTTTCCACTCTCACGCGCCATCCTTTTCTGCTGCATTACTGTCGGTTCACTTTAAACATGATGATGGCACTGCGAACAGAGAATCCGGGGATTCGACTGTGCCAGTGATCAGTGCGACAAATGACAGTCCCTCGGGGACAAAGGGAACAGGAAGCACACGATGCGCTCACAGTTCTCCTATACATACCGTTAGCCGCTTCCATAAACACAGAGGTTTCCGTACGTTGGAACGTACGAGTGCTGCGGTCGATTTAGCCAAACAAAAGGATCGGGAAGCCACTCAACATCTTGGAACATATTTGGAACCGATCGGGAAGTCATCATTTCAGAAAACTTGGTAGACGACCGGTTAATGTGTTTATGGTGATGGACAACGTTTCGCTTTTGACACAAAAGCTACAGTGTACCCACGAACATATTGACCTTTGACCGCTGTAATCAGTCATTGATGAACTGCCAATTGATTCGTCTCTGTATGTAGTTTAGCCATAATCGCTATAAAATGCCACTGTTAAGATAATTCACTTCGCTTGATGAAGCTTTTGTGTCAAAAGCGAAACGTTGTCCATCACCATAAATACACTAACCGGTCGTCTACCAAGTTTTCTGAAATGACCGGTAAGCTAATTAGAGCGTAGTCAAATGTTGTCAGCCAATCTACGGCGCCACTTAGACGAATGACTATGCATGGTGCGACCATTGACAGAGTTCAGTTCTCATCCGATCGGCTACTTGCCTCATCTTTATGATCCAGTCCGTTCATTCTAATCAGCTATTCACACCACCTTCGGTATTCTCTGATGCGATGGAACATTGGGCTTTGGGCGTCCCTGCAGCATCGGAACCCGCATAAACCACCTGCGGTCTCGTGACAGCGAGCACCTACACGGAAGAATGTACACATCGGAAATCTTGGGATTCCGCCGTGATGATACCTTTGTTGTTACAACTGTAACCGTCCATACTTGTTTGAGCAATTCTTCCATTACACCTTGAAAAGGCTCTGGTTTCATGATCCCTAAAGTGCAACAATAAATGAACAATCGGGAACCAACCGGAAAATCATGGCTTACTTCGCAGTTGCGTTTAATCTCAGCATCAGCATGCCCATTTATAGGGCGTCGGACTAGCTTTCAATGTGATCAGAGCGTGTTCTTTAGTAACTAACGTTTTGTAGCCTCCCTATCTGGAGCATCGGTCTACATACAACTGCGGCTTATACATGACAGCAGAACCCTTTCCACTAGCTACACTACAACTGCATGCACGTTCTTACCTTCTGATCATGTCATATCATGGTGTGCCTCGTTCTACCGAGAATAAAAATTTATTTATATATCGGATATGATAGTTCTGGACGAAGATGTAGCCTTCACGTCATAATTCTCAACAACAGGAGCACTTCACCCTTTCATAAAATATTCACCTCAAATCACAGATTAGTGATGAAGTGGTTCAGGCGCTCACCTTATAATCCACGGCTCTTCTGTGTGCCTGAGTGACCGTGTAGCATCCTTGTCCACATGCAACCGCTAGTTGTTGCCTGGTGGCCAACTATCCCTACGTGGTTACGGCATATTTCTAATACCCATGCTCACGGTGATCCAAGACGCCTGGTAGAGTATCCAGACGAGTGATAGAAAATGCTTGCATTCATTTTGTGACCCTTTGACAGGTGTACTGGCGATGTTCTCGAGCGAATGTCACGTCCAGTAGGTAAAGTGAACGTTGAGGCTACGAAGATGCGCATTGATGCTTGAGATCAGTATCGAGGGGCAACACGGAAACGGGGTCAAATTGGGGTGGGGCACGCACGTGACCCGCAGTGCTAGTACAAAATTTACTGCGTTCGTTACCGCCGTGTCATCGTTAGCCTGTGTGTGACTTATCTACGCGGCACGTGACAACCTCTTATGCACGAACAAGTGCTTGTGCGCTTTGAACTGTTTCCGCTTGATGTTCACTCTCGAGTGCGCAATCCACAAGCTCTTTCACTACGGCTCTATTGTGTCGTGTGTGTGCCTAGATTCGTGTTCACACCAACTTCACAAGCGAACATGGACAGATACAGTACTGGCGCCGCATGCATTCTTGTGCAGAACAGATGAGCATCCGATAATACATTTGCGATGTGAGCCATCCAACTGACCACACAAGTCTCTGGTTGCTCCTGTCACCGGCCGTAATTCGAAAGCATTCAGGACTTCTCTTGTCATACTTTTGAGTAAGGAAGGGATTGCACGCTTACACTCCGATCACCGGTTCGAATCTGCGCGTTGCGGGCGACCCCGCGGTTGTATACCCAGCTCTCGCGCGACTGATGATGGTGGTCGCGCGGCACCGAGGCCTGCACACTACTTAAGCCTTTTTGTCGTGCATCGATCCGAATATGAAGTGCTTCAGGGTTTTCTGGGATTCATTGAAGTAAAAATTGACGCCTTCAAATCAATTCAGCCCAGTGAGAGCATTTTGCGTTGTTTCACTGTCCAGTTGTTGAGTGGTTCAGCACGTTAGTCCATTTTTGTACATCGTTTTCCGGTTTTTCTAACCGTTATCCGTCGCTTAACAGCACTACGTCCGTCGTGTTTGATCGATGTTTCCGCATCGCTCTAATTACCGCCCTATTCAACATTCAGTGGGAATTCGGCTTGGATCCCATATGGGTTAGCTATTTGTTGAGACATTTATAGACTCCCGATCTTCGAGTCAGTCACTATTAGCTTAAGCTCTGCGATAAATGATGCCCAATTGTTTTCATTTGCCCGGATTGCGAGCTGTGCTGTGTGACATTACTGCGTGTTTCGTTAACTACGCGCATCGTCTTATCTTTCCGTTTCAGACTTCACAGAACGTTCCGCTTGATGGCGAGGAGGTTGACAATTATCTCAGCGAATACCTGGCGAAGTCAAGTTGAACATTTTGCTAACCAAACTTCGATCAGCTTACAAGTGCAACAGTTTGTTATCACTACTCCCCTCATCTTACCACTCTTTGCCCTCCCCCCTTTGTTTCCGCCCCGTGATATGTATTGGATCGACTTGGCATGCGTGTTTCGAACTGCATTTCTTGTCTTTCTTGTCAAAGCACGCTCCTTCACTACACTCCCCGAGTATGATCGACACCTGTAGCTCGGTGACGAGGATTCTTTTATCTACTAATAGCCCCTTGCGTTCGCTGTGTATATGTCCACCATCACTCCCAGCTTACGTCGTGAAATCTCGTCGGAGCCAGTGCGAAATTGTTTGTCCCAACCTTCATTCCTCATAAATTTGCCGACCCTTTGTATGTCCGTTTTTTGCCATTAACCGTTTTCTATCTAGTCCAGTTGGCAGCGTTATTATACATTTCTGCCATGTTTTCTCAACACTCACATATACAGGCTCAACTGCATATCAACTACCTTCTGATTTAAAGTGCTGTGCAAATCAGCTGAATGTCTCCGGTGGATTCATCGATCGAAAAGGGTCGACAAAGTGAGATGGGAAAAGGGATGTTGTCAATCCAAGATGGATCGATGAAAGTGTCAAGAATTAACGGAAGAACGAGTTAAGAGTTAGAATAGGGGTCAAGAGAAAGGTATATAGTGGTTCCTGACAAGGATCAAGAAACAAGAGGCTGCGTGTAGCAGCGCCACTGATATTTTGATTGAAACGTGTCTGATAAGAAGCCAAGTACAGTCAAATCTGTCTAAGGTGGCCACTCAAGGGACCGACAAAACGTGGTCCCCATGGTAGGTTGGACGATAACTAATTTGCAAGTTTCGGGGTCACACTCCAACAAGATGGTGTACAGCAAGTTTTCTTGTCAATATCTTTTCGCTGTATCATTAGATGGCATCTCTGAGATTCCCTTAAAGCCAGATGCGGCTTATCATCAGTGAAGACTTCGAGAGATTAAGCAGCCTAAGATTCTGGGTTTATAACAGCGGATGGTGCCTGGTTTTGATGCATGAGTCAGAAGCATACCCAGGGAGCGTTGAATGCGTGACAAGACTGGTCACTGGTGCAACATTCCGAAGTACCAGTCACAATAGATCCCTCTACTACTTTGATAACAAGTAGTCGTCTTAGTAGTTTGCATACCACTTCGATTGGTGGCGGCTTGCAAAGGCAGTCGAAGTGGCCAGCCCTGTCATCTGCACGCTCATAACATGCATGACAGTGGGGAATGATGCGCGCTACATCGCAGTTAGAAACCAGTCATGGCGGTCCGCCGCCGTCACTCACCGCTCAGTGGCATAAGTCGTTGGCTCGTAAGGCTAAGATTATGAGTTCAATCCAGCAGAAATCGGTAGACGATCGCTGCTGACGAGTCTCAGTAGGACAAGACGGTCGTCCAGCGCTTTCCTGGAGGTGTGGTGACTGTCTACATGCGATGTATCTTCTCAACAAAAACAATAGATCCCCTACTGCTCTCAAAGAGTGCGAGATAGTGGCTCTATCTATTAAAGGTTGTAACATGGGTTCATTTTCGACAGCTTCCAAGTTGATGGATTACACCAAAACATTTGAGTGTTCAAATTTCTGTAACTGAAAAATTCCCATTTAAGTATCAAGAACAAGGGACCTAACTAAAGTAGGCAATTGTTTTCGTTGAATTCATCGTCGGACCTGTAAAAATAACAATGGACGTCACAGTGGATTCGATCAGTTCAAATGCAATTAGATCACGTATCGACCAGGGGCGTAAACCAACAACAAACAATAAGCGCAAACTAGGGCAAAGATGTAGTCGAACGATTGCAGTCAGCATCAGAATCCTCCGTTTTATCCGGCCAGGGTAGCTTAAGAGCTTCGATCAGTTTCTTTTGTGAACACAAAAGTGGTTGATACAACCGAATACTGATCACCTCGGCGGTAGAAAAGGTACGGAGTCACAGGCCTTTCGACTGGAGAGGAGGGACTCTATAGTATTCGAAAGGCACGGATTGGGTCGACTTCATGCCCACTATCAACCAGATGAGCCATAAAAGAGCTAGTTACAGCCCCGGTACTGCCTCGATGCAACCAGCGTGGAAGTTTCTCATTAATGCGTTACGACAGGTGCCGCGCCGCTCAACCGATGTAAGTGGCGCCAAAGACGCACTCGAACTGATAAATGACCATAGAAGCGATCAGCGTCGGCAACTTGTCTTTGTTGTGGATACCAATGAGAGGGTCTGTTGAGAAGGTACACTTGAGCTTAGCAGCTGAGAAAGTTGACTTACCAGCTGTTGAAAGGCTTCTGGTGTTCGATTTCTCGGAATAGGCTTAAGACCGTCTGAAAAGTCAATTTCGGAAGGTTTCAACTACAAGTCGGTTTGTGTAGGTCTATATTGTGGATACGTTTCGCTCTTGACGCGAGCTTCTTCAGACCACGTGTATCGGTGCATAATTGGCTTAGCTTTTATGGCAAAATAGGGTGATGAATGAGGAAAATTACACGATACAGTGGATAATTACGTTGCAGCTCGGTGAGTCACTCTAGTGGTGCAATAGGTATAGAACGATTAATTTGCACCACAGGTCATTCACATGGATGTGCCTTCGATCGAGGTTCGTGTTCGGACGGCACAAAAGCAGCTATTTACTATGGTACGTTCAGATAGGTGGTCTTCTGCAAAAACATCTTCGACTACCGACTCAGCCTCTCGATGCTCGAGAATACGACTGTCGGGAATGTGGTCCTAATCTGGCGGTGAATGATGCCTTACGACGCTGCTGTCTTGAATACCTGTTCCATAAACACCACACGGTAGCACCAAAGGATTAATAGATCTGAGTAACCTGCTGGCCAGCCTGTGATGGAGCACGCGCACTGAAAGACCCTAAGCGAAACGGCGCCGAAGATTTGAAGCATCTACCTTTCCTATTGCGTGACTGACGGAGTCAAGAGTAGGCGCTTGGTTAACAAAAGCTGACACAAAGTTGGGAAAAAGAACATAAGCTGCAAGGTCTAATATGCTTCCAATTCACGTGACGTTGGAGCGGGGCAAGCAAGTGCCGGTGATATCACAAGACTGCCTTTTTTCGACTATCGGTACCTGTGTAGCACTGCGTTTATCTGCTGATGACATTGAGTGGTTGGTGCTCAAGTTTTGCGACGTATACTCTGGTGCTGAACTGAATTGTCTTCCAAACGTAAGTCGCGTAGGCTCGTTAGATCAGATTGTCTAGCGCATACCGACCGACCTGCTGCTGTTCCTGTACGACGCCAAGGCTGCAGTAACGTTCGATTCTTGGTATAAGCGGTAAGAGGACCTGTTCACCGTTGACCTGGCCAGCCAGGATGACGCGTGGAAGGTCTGGCTGCTCCTGCGCAAACTGGGTACGCTCGAATACCAACGCTATCGCAATTTCACCTTGAAGAACACACGCGACGTTACTTTCAACGAGACGGTCCGAATCTTGTCCCAGATTTTTGGCGAGCAGTCCTCTTCTATGCCCCTTATCAATGTCTGCAGCTGGTCAAGCGTGATGCCGACGACTTCATCACGTACGCGGGCGTGGTCAACCGTGGATGCGCACGTTTTCAACTTGGTTCGCTCACAGAGGACCAGGTCAAATGCCTGATCTTCGTCTCTGGTCTACAATCTGCACACGATGCCGATATCCGGACGCGCCTCCTATCCAAGCGCTATAACAGGATACCACAGTCACACTCCAGAACCTGAAGCACGACTCAGCCATGATCCAGAACGACGCCGCACCTAGTATGGTCCAAGCATCCGCAACACCACATCCATGATCATTCTACACGTTAGCTAGAGGTGTAAAACACCTCAGCTACTGTGCCGCAATACATAAAAAGCAACAGTTGCATGCCAGCTGAGCTACCAGCAACGGATGGGCATCGTTCCGGAAAGCTACCAACCGGCTACTAGGCAACAAACATATTATGTAAAATTATATTATGCTACGAAATGAGATCGTGGTTGAAAGGGAGACTACAGGGGATGTGGAGGGACAATGAAACTCACAGCAGGAACGCCACTGAAGTCGCCTCCTTACCATGTCAAATGTATCCAGCCAAACGTGTTCATGGTCAACCGGACCCCAACCAAGGAGCCGAGGCCAACTTCGAAGTAAAGGCCCTCATTCATCTCGACCAAGTCATCGCTTGGCCACCTCTCTACTTCCATCCACACCCCCGGCGCGCAAACACACGTCGCGGAGATCGGTGGGCTGGCATGCACAACACGTCGCCAAGCCATCGGAGCCTGGTGCGTGATAGTACGGTGCTAAACGGTTCACTCCTTTTTCCTGTGCCATAAACAAAGCGTCGAACACGATCATTGCTAACCCGGTGTTCCCGCCAGATATGAGCCAAATTGCGAAGGCATCTGTGGTGTTTAAGGTTGTTACCTCTCTCCTTCACTAAACCGTCATGATAGTATGGAAGCGAAATCTCATCGCACTACTGGTGCATTGCACGGGTAACGATTGATTAGGATTATCCTTCCTGTCACCTGGCATTTGTTAAAAAAACACAAATTAACGCTTGTGAAGGAAAGGCTGTGCTGGCGCCTACACTTGGGAGACAGGCGTGCTCATGTTTGCCGATTTACAACAGCAACGTATCACAATGATGCTCGTATCATGTCTGACGGTATGTGGAGAGATTTCACCCTAGTCGGGGGAAACGCGTGGATTAATACAAAACAATCATTTGAAAAGGATTTGGGAAATTTATTTGTTTGTTACATTATCCGGGGTACTTTGTGAAGTGCCCGCGGAGCTGGATTCCATGTTTTTGATCAACCGATACAGCTGACTTGCGCCTGCCACTTTGCTGAATTCCACACAAAACACTTGAACCTCGATAAGTATATTCTAGGGAGAAAGAAATTACAAGACATAATATACTGTGTAGGAAAAAGACGGAATTTGCGCATACACTGAGAAACGTGAATCAAATAAATTTCAGCAATGTACCAGAAGGGGACATTTTGTGAACAGATGAATCAGTATTTAATGCAGCGCGTAACAGCAAAATGAAACTTAGGCAGCGCTCATTGCAAATAGCCTACAAGGATGTGATTCTCTGCATCTTGACGCCGAGATGATGGGGCACCTGACTGATCTCTCGAGAAACCTTTCACCACGATTTTGAAACACTATACTTCTTGGTGATGGTGAAGCCGGTTCGAGCTAGTGTCGTGTTTTGAGTCTCCTCAGTTCCTAAGAATGCTGCCAAGATGAAATTGAAATACACGATGCGATACGGTGGTCAACGGTATTCCCAGCACAGAATCCTAGTTGGGTATGTGACTACTGGGGCGAGCAAGGAAACTTTGCGCTGCCGCAAAACTCAGTAGATGTCATTCTGCAAACGTGTGTATACGTACCCTCGTCGCTAACGCATCGACAGTATTATTAAACGCAATTTCACACAAAAAATGCAGATTTACAAGGAATTAAGAAGTAGTTGAATCAATGAAATTGATTGGGGAGAACAGAATCAGACCCGAGCACGGGGGTGTCGTGGAGCCAATTGTCTCGATTCACACCGCGAAGATAATGACAGGAGAAATAGTAAACAGCAGCCTGACATCTACTATCTTACACACAGACAATTTCATCGGAAAAGAAACCACAAGAACAAGAATGACTTGTTAGTAAGGGGTTTCTGATGAAATTAATTGAGAATCCTTCGCAGTAAGTTCTAAATCACATATTCTTCTATACACTCGGAAAAGCACTTTACGGACGTGTCGTCTTACGAAGATTCGTCAGTGGTGCGCACACCTCTGCCCTATCAGGAACCGGACTCATGGGCTCTTGATAACAGCCGGCGGCTTATGTCACAAGGCCACAGGTGAGGACAGCAGACAGTCGAGAAATGCAATCTGACTGCGATATAGTGCTGCGCATCCTTTACTGACATGGAAGTTATGATGTTGCAGATGGTGGAGAAGACTCCCAAAGCCACGGACTACCATAATAGCACCTACGTACGACATAACATTCAGAAGTAGGCATGGCGAATAGCATAACGCTTAGAAGGCTACTTGACTTGGAAACTACTGCAAAAAAACAGTTAAAATTATAACTGTTGAATAAATCAGATACCACAAGACATCAATGACCTCGAAACCGCGCCATCTCAAACAGCATCATCCCTTGATAGAGCTTGCTCGAATGCTCTTCCTAGAAAGAAAGCACTCATCAGCCAATTTTCTCAGGCCTTCCAGTTGCATCATCTGACGCCTTATCTGACCATGCACTCTACGCGAAGACATCGCTCGCTGGGGTGTGGGATCAACAGGTGCACAAGTCAACGTAGGCGCTCTGAAGCTGCACCAGAAGATTTGATGCTAGTTACGAACCAAATAGTCGACATCAAACTTACTCCATGGTCCTATCAGCAACAAGCAAGGCCACGTGTGCATCGATGACCAAGGTAAACTAGCATCCCGACATTATCAACGCGTAGCGGTCATTGAATAATGGTTTATGACAAAGAAGTATGTGCCCAACAAGTTCCGTGGGTTGGTGAGGAAGAGAGGTGCAAAATCAGTTTAGATATGCGAACAGAACAGAACGCGACAGGATAATGGCATATTTGATGCAAGGTTGAAGAAATGGGATTACACCGTGCAAAACAGTTAAACAGGTCATTGTGGCTAACGCTTCTTGTAAAGCATGATCGGACAGCTCACCCACCTGCGCCGATGTCCCCGTGAATGTTAATTCCAAGTACGTTAATCCACTGGAATACATTCTGGGGTGCCACATTTATGTAACAAATTGCACATAGTTAAATGCAAAGTCGCGACATTGTTAGAACATAACTGAAAGGGGGACAGAAACAACTGAGTTCGGATGGGCGTTCCCCGGGAATGACAGACCCAAAGAGAAAAGTCACTTCGTCCACAATCCAGACGACTGTAATGCTGACTTACTTGCAAGCGAATGTCTCTTTGCTTAGTGTTTGGGCTGAATTTCATAAGATGGCGGCATGCGTTATTAAGATTACTCGGTGTTTTGCATTTCATAGTAAAGCCTGTGTAGCTGCCGGTAGCGTTCACTGGACACTCCGAGTTTATTCTGACGGTGATTGTATTCCAAGCGGCGCGACATTGTGGGGTCTCGAGCGCTGCGACCGGCTTTGTCCAAATTTCCTAAGCCTGGATAGCGTATTCAGCATTGGACATCATAAATAAAATGTATGAATGCAAGCTCCCGAGTGCCCTCACCGCAAAGGACCAACATACAGCTGACCACATTTTGAAGTGAACCCACACTGTGTGGAACAACCGAGGTCGGCCTGCACCAACACACCGAGGTCACGTTCCTGAGAGGTGGTCTGCAGATCGTGCGCCCCAAGCCTGTAGATGTAGGCGTGTTAGTGACGAATGTGAACAATTCGGCACTTGTTCACATTGAATAGCAGCGTATTCCTGACCGAAAAATCCCAAGCCCCATGGAAATCGCGCTGGAGGATCTCATAGTCGTCCCATCCCCTAATCACGAACCAAATCTTAACGTCGTTCACGAAGAGTTAAATTTTTGAGGTGATAACTCTCGCTAGATCAGTACTTAAGACTAAGAGCAGCACAAGGCCAAAGTACCGAAACCTACAGTACGCCGCACTCCATTTGAATTAAATCGGACAAAACTGTCCAGACCTTAACCTTTATTCCAATATTGGATATCCCATACCACGGTGCTGAAGTCTGAGAAGCAAGATACAATGGCCCAAACAACTGAACGTTTTGTAAAAGTTCAAATAGATGGTGTATATATATTTATATAGTGCCCCATCTTGAGGCTGATGTTGCATATATGATGCTTCTTCACCGCAGTTGGGCTAAACCACCATCGCAATGAGGCTGCACCTTACTGTGGTGCGATGGTTTGTGTGCCTCAGCGATCCATTGAGCTATGCTGGGTGGTGTTTTCTGCACCTTCAGCGCCAATCATACCAGATTGGTCAATGGTTAGAGGTCAGACAAACTCAGCCTCCTGGTCCTCCAGGTTAGGGGTTGGAATGAGGGTGGCACATTATTCCTTAAAACGGACTCCTTGTAGCCCAACGCCAAACCCTCTGCCTTGCGGTAACGTTTTTGAATCAAAGGCTTTGGTTGAGAACCCTAATCATTCTCTAGTCTAGGCCTAGACAACCTGACAGTATCATGCCCAGTATCCTGCAATACTATCAATCTTTCGTCAAGCAATTTCTTGATGCTCTGGTCACCCCAGAGGATAATCAACGGTGCCCTATCTGCTACATCGAGCAGCGTGGATAGGGGTTTGGATGCTACTGCTCAAGCCTTCCCGTCTTCTTATTCCCCCTCTTACGCTTTTTCACTCTCACCGTCCCGTTCCAACTTTACTTATATCCCCCATTTTCAACGCCCCGATTCTTGACTCTCCCCCAACATGCTTTGCTAGGCGTTTCTATTCTAATTCCAACTCACATGCTAACGCGGAGCGTCACTCCTCTCCTGTCGACAAGCCCATGTCCAACAAAGCGATCCATTTCAGTTCATCGGCTTTCATTTGGAGTGCTCGATCCTCCTTCAAATTGGCATGCCTCAATGTACGCACATTGCTACAGATCGGTCAAGAGGCAGCACTTGACCGAACATTAAAGACCCTCTCAATCGATATCTGCTGCTTATCGGAGACCCGCCTGCAAGACTCGAACTTTGTGCTCACTCTGCGATCCCCTTCAGGTGACGCAAGCAGTATTTTCTCATTGCGCCTATCCGGTGACGATGTAGCTTCGAGCACCGGCCAAGCTGGTGTTGGCATTGCTCTGAGTCCCCAGGCTGAAGCTGCTCTGGTTGATTGGATTCCAATCAGTAGCCGGATGTGTGTGGTCCGACTAGCTGGTTCGTTCGAAGCTTAGAAGTCGCGTGGGACTAATAGGTGTCTATTCGTCATCACTGCCTATGTACCCACAAACTGTAGCGATGATTCGGTAAAAGACGACTTCTATCGCCAACTGAACAAGTTCCTTCACCTCAGAAGAAGCACGGACACTGTTGTGCTGGCGGGGGATCTGAACGCACAAGTTGGGAAGTTGTCCACTGATGTAATGCATTTGGGCGGTCAGCACGGTGTAGGCTCCCGTAATGATAACGGTGAGCGGTTACTTCATCTGTGTGAAGATGCCCGCTTATTTCTTGAGAGCACTAACTTCCGACATAGCACCCACCAGGGGGTGACTTGGCACCCACTAGCCTTGGAGGAAGATGGATCACATTGCTATCAGTTACCGCTGAAGAGGCTGCATCCAGAACTGTCGCTCGATTTGGAGCACATGTGTGGACACCGACCATGCACTTGTATGTGCTGACATGCGGATACGTTTTGGCGGACGCCCACGACGACGTGAGCGCATTAACACCAGCCAACTGTTCTGAATGCGTATCGAAGTACGCTGACATGCGAGTTGAGTAAGCGCTCACTGGAGACAATTGATGGTCACTGGTCACATGTTCGCCAGGCAAATCCTCACGTGGTATGTCTGATAGCCTACATGGAAATTGGGTCTCCACACAGTCTCTGGAACTTATCGACGCTCGCCGCATATTCCGGCTGGAAGCGAACACAATGAAACTCGCAAAGAGCTCCGAGTAAAACTCCGTGCTATCCTCAACAGAGACCGCGAACCTTGGCGGTTTCATCCTGCGTCAGAGATGGAAGTGGCCGCTGCCCTTGGCAACCATTGTAAGTTATTCCGTCTGATACGGGAAACGGGCAGCAGGAAGCCTGGTGTTAGTGAAACTATACGTGATGAGAGTAAACAGGCTATCCACAATTTGTCAAAACGTTTGGAGCGTTGGGCTGAGCATTTTGAAAAGCAATTTAATCGGCTAGAA